ACAGGGATTGTCTACAAATTGAATAAAACGTGTTAAAACAATGCTAGTCAAATCCTGGAGAGTAGCGACTAAACTACTAAAAACTCAGACGATCAAAAGAAAAATGTAAAAACGATACCACGGGAATGTGAGATACAGACTCATTAAAATCTCGGTAGCCCTCTTTAACAGTAGCATACAAACAAATTCAGGTATAAGGGGTACATATGTACATAAAATCGAAAAAATACATGGACCTACACATTTCAAAAATAGCATAGGTCACAAAGGCAGAGCTATTAATTTTGCTGCAGGGTGCCCTACTAGCGCATGGTCCCTCGTGGGTGAGGCTGCAGCGCCCTCTACTTTTGGTCATATGTAATACGTATGCATACCAGAATACCTCCTGCGGACTTGAGACTAACTGAGTACATTAGAAGACCCTGCATTGTTTTTCCAACATAGAAGTGACGCTGAACAGGTAAATATCAAAATGGGTTTGTGCTCGGTTCATTTAGAGTCAATATTCATTCAAAAGCTGGATAAAATTTTAGCCTTCGCGCCCTTTAGCAAGTTCTGCAACGCATACCGAATATTGACCAATCATACGCAAGGCACTGCACTTTCGGTTTGTCGGCTGTCTCCTTTTAGCCGGAATAAGGCTACCACCTTTCCTTCTCGTTCGAGGATGTGCATTCCGCTTTGTGAGATAACCCAAGACGGCGACACAATGACATCTAAGTGTTCAGGAGAACGACCAAAAAATCACGATTCCTTCGCACATATACTGAAAACCCGTCAAAAGCCCGCAATATTATCTTCTCCCCGGCGTCACCTTTCTGAACTTATGTACATAGAACAGTACGAAAACGGTGGTGGCTACGCCTTGCATGCTTACGCTGACGAAATCGCTCGTTTGTCTAAGGATGAGGTTAATCTACTTGCCAAGAAGTTTTTCCGCAACCTCTTCCTCGAAAGGCGGAAAAAAGGTGTGGCCGTGCCTTTTTCATACTTTTGCATTGGTGTTGTCCACGGAGCGGCGAAAGTTATGCCGGAACTTCTGCAGTACATGACAGAAAAGCATCCGTCGCTTGTGGTCACAACTAATCCACTGGAGGCAAAAAATGCATCCTGCACAACTCCTCTTAAGGACTTTTGTGACGCTGTGTTCAGAACCTATTGCAATGGACTTTATCGTCATGGCCCAATGCATTCAGTAAGTCTTGTCGGCGTCAAAGGTGAAGAACGAGGAAAGTTTTGCCAAGATGTCCTAGATATGATAAGTCGTGATCCCTTTCTGCGGCTAGTTCTTCCTTGGGGTGAGCTGTCCTCTCTTCATGGTATGGATCCACATAAAAGTGACGATGGACCAATTCTGTGGGTACGTCCTGGCGAACAAGCTCTTCCTCTTCACGGATCCTTGCAAAAAACTCGAAGCAGGTACGCCACACCTTAAAGGTGCTATCTAAATTTTCATCCTATACTGTTTTAGCGTTTTAACGGATTCATTGTTGGATTAACCGCCCATACAGTTTACTGCTTGCCGCTAACTCTACTATGAGCCTGCGCCTTATTTTTGGGTTCTCTTTAACCTCTCAGTTGACTGAAGCGCCTGGGAGCCCTGTAGAAAGCCAAGAACACGCATAACCCTTTAACTGCAGCCGAGATAACTCATTCAGCATTACTGCAAATTTATTGATTAATGCTTTGTTTTTTCTTGTTAACTTGCCAGTCGGACCTGTTTTAGTTAAAAATGTTTTGCTCAAGTTGCGAGGAATATATTCCAAGCGCACACAAGAGTCAAATGTGCCCTTCAGTGTGAGACTATTCGAAAAGTACTGTCTCGCGGTTAGTTGTAAAATCAACCGAAGTGGCTTAACATTCATCCAAAGTGAAACCAAACAGCCACATTTTAGCGGCCAGAGATATTTGGTAGGTTATGAAATGCGATAAAGGGTTCTTGGATCAAGACTCATAACATTTCCTTCTCACTGTCTCTATTTTCGATATGTATACCTCACAGTCTCTCAAATCTGGTTGTCTGGTTGAATGTAGA